TATCAAAATTTGATTTTTTTAATGCAGAGTAAACTGTGTGTTTCCTCTTCCGTGTCCGAAATTCAGTTTTAGCCAATTTCTTTTGGAAACCAAAAGAATGCTTGACTGTTCTTAAATACCTTGACGCCAGTCAAACTCTATTTGTGCCTCACTAGTAGCATGCAAGTACAAATGACCCAGCATACTGATTCATATCCCCACCCCTGTCAAAAGGAGAACCCAGCACTAATGAGTATAGATGGGGTCTTACAGGTGGATAATATGGATTCATATATGCCTCTGTATGCATGCTATGGCTGTTTCTATGGAAGGTTTCTCCCATGTCTTGGATCTTCTAGATGTATTACCATCTAATCTCTATCAAATCGGGTATGGGAAACGCCCTCCCATTCTCAAAATTTTAAGTTTACATGTAGAAATAAAGATGCCTTTCATTTGTTAGATTTAAATCATGCAGAATATAATTTCCACTCTAGATAAAGCCATCTGTTCAGTTCAGTTGGTTGCATAGGAATGGGGAAAATTATTGGATTTCTCTCCAGAAATAGGACGGTGGTTTCCCCCGAATCAAACTCTTAGCAAGGCTCAAGCATGGTATCCAGTTGGCAGAACAAAATAGGCATCATATGTTGAGAAGGTGCCTTCAAAATGTGCTTCGTTATCTGCAAAATTAATATCTCTATTCCCCCCTTTCTTTTTTACTAATTTTACACACCTTTTTTGGCTTCGTGGTGCCCCACGATGGTCACTAGTTGTTGTGCACAATTGTTTCCACACAATTACAGTTGGATCAAGGCCAGTGTGTGGACAACTCGTGTGGAAGATCCATAGCTGTCAACTTATCCCTTTTCCTGCGAGGGATCCTGTTTGGAATAAGGGAATTTTCCTTTAAAAAAGGGAAACGTTGACAGCTATGGGAAGATCTGGGGGACAGTTTCATGTCTCCTCTGAAACAGCTCTTGGATAGCAACAGTAGCATAAAACTGCCCTTAGGAGAATTGCTGTCTGTCTAAGTAAATAATATTGAGCACAATACAGTTTTGTATGTTCACTCCCCTGATCTAAACTTCTATCTAAATGTTTTTGCTTTCTGCTGTTCAGATGAAGGAAGCTGCACTTCATTTAGCTCCAGAGGTAGTAAAACTATTCTCTGCATAATTCATGTTAGCATAAGTCTCGCAAGAACTGAATAAATCCATATCTCAGGCAAGCTAAGCTCTTCAGATACATGGTTGGTTTTTTATTGTTTTAACGAATGCATGGTGGTAATGTTTGTGTACTACTTTGAGAAAATGCCAAAAATACCATTTCAAAGTACATTCTAGGAAAACCATGAGTAGTTTAAAGGAGTAGTGATTTTTTTTAAGCCCACCACTTATCCTTAAAGATCTTCTTTCTATAGGGAAAAGGGGAAATTGCACTATAAGCATTAGGACAGAAACAATGGTGCTTAATTGATATTTAGAAAATTGCAATCTGCTTTTTATTTTCAGTAATGAAGTGACTGAGTATTTATACAAAGAAATATTATTAAGGGGGGGAAATCTATACATTCCTTTATACTATGTAGTATCATAATGGCTATCAACAACAGTGCAAAGAGGAAGCCTTAAAATTATAAAATGAAAGGAAATTGTTGATAGATACTAATTTGTAGTGTGCCTGATGGGGTTTGTTTGTTTTGCAAAAGGAGGACCACTGAATGATTAGACACTTCCTGTAAAGTAAATATATAATTATTTTTTCTCTTGTTGTACCAATGCCATTTTTTAAAATGAAAATAACTTTTGCAAGCACTTTCGTTATTTTGCTTCCTTTCTACCTTTTCTGTTCCTTCTTTCGTTTGGACTTTCAGAAAGAAAACAAAAATTGTGTTTTTAAGTTTGTGTGGTCTTCCTTTGTTCACCAGCATCATCCGTAATCGCTTGCGTGGTATCCTAGAGACAAAACACACTGCACACATGGGATTAATAACATGGGGTTTTTTTTTAAAGAATACTGTCAGATCTTGCAATGGCTGTATTCGTTCCTGAGGAAGCGAAAGAAGATCAGGCGACACTGGGTGATGCGAGCAGACGTTTCAGGAGAAGATTCAGGGCTGGCATCAGAGGTGGTTATAGCTGGGCACCTGCCACTATCAATGTTCCTTTTTCCCCCAAATGCTTTTTATGGAGATTTAAGAACACCAACACCAACCAACAAAAACATCAAAACTAATTACATATATCCTACTTTATGCTCCATAGAGCCGTTGACTTCCGTCCTTCCCTTCCGCAAGTTTTCTTATACCAATCTATAATTCACAGTTTCATTGGTTACAAATTACACCGTGACATAAGATTTAATTCAATCCTGCCAACGTTTTCATATTTCTACAATTCTCACTTATATAAATCATAAATTTACTCCATTCTTTTTGGTACTTCGTCTCCTCCTGATTGCGAATTCTGTGTGTCAATTTTGCCATTTCAGCGTATTCAACCAACTTTATCTGCCATTTCCTTACAGTCGGGATCTCCTGTGCCACTATCAATGTTCCAATAGGAAATCCCCACAAATCTCTGGAGCTGCCTGGCCAAATGCTTCCAGATCTCTTTGGCCCTTGAGACTCTTCTAGGCCATGTTCTCTTTTGGAACATGTTGTTGAACTGTAATGTCTCTGGCTTGCTTGGATAAGAAGCTGGTGGGTACGTATCTGACTTTCGCATGGCTGGATTGCAGGCTAATTTGCATCTCTTACTCCACCTACTTTTGCCTTACCCTGCCTCCATGTGTCCATTAGAAATTGCAGCCCACAAGCTGATAAACGTTGCCAATCCTTTGAAGCTTTTTGGGTCTGTGTTTCTGTTTCGTAGCTGACAGTAGTGGCCAGTGTGGTTTGGCAGAGTCGCAGTGTTACCGTTCCGACACCATTGCTAATGCAGTGTACCAGGGCAGCACTGGTATGCGCAGGGTGGATGAGGTCAAGGCTGCATGGACTCACCTGCAGGAGCATTGCATAGGCACTGCCTGTGCATCTGCACAGCCCCAAATTCACCACTGGCTTGCCTCAGCACCATCAATGTAAGCTGCAGCAATGCTGGTGTCTGGAGGACCACTCTGTACTAGCTCTTCCTGGTCACTGAGACGTTCCCCCATTGTTCAAAGTAGATGTTCCTCATATCCCTTCTCTGGAGACCACACCTTTGGAAATGGGTGTACCACACTCAAAGGGATCCAATTAACAGTGGCTGTGGTTATTTCTAGAGCTATCCTAAGGGTGGGACGCGGGTGGCGCTGTGGGTTAAACCACAGAGCCCAGGACTTGCCGATCAGAAGGTCGGCGGTTCGAATCCCTGCGACGGGGTGAGCTCCCGTTGCTCGGTCCCTGCTCCTGCCAACCTAGCAGTTTGAGAGCACGTCAAAGTGCAAGTAGATAAATAGGTACCTCTCCGGCGGGAAGGTAAACGGCGTTTCCGTGCGCTGCTCTGGTTCGCCAGAAGCGGCTTAGTCATGCTGGCCACATGACCCGGAAGCTGTACACTGGGTCCCTCGGCCAGTAAAGCGAGATGAGCACCGCAACCCCAGAGTCAGTCACAACTGGACCTAATGGTCAGGGGTCCCTTTACCTTTACTATCCTAAGGGTATCTGCAAGCTTGGGCCTTTCTAGCAGATCCTTCCCCCTTTTGAACAGCAAGTCCCCCATGCAATATCACAAACCACTTTGGGAACAAAAGAAGACGCAAGAGCTTTCTTGGGGATGCAGAACAAATCGTTCCATCTGTTGGACCCAGGCTTACGCGTTCCAAATGATTTGGGCGCTTCAAAAAACCACATGCAACCCACAGTATGAAGTTGTTTTATTTTTCAGATGTAACAATTTTCTGCTTGAATAAAGTCCATTATTTTCTATCTTAGCTTGGAAGCCTGGTCTTCCATTCACCATCAATTTAAACCAGAATGAATAATATAGACCACAAGATTTCCATTCATTCGTTCATCTTTATTTGACAAAGCCTTGGTGCCAGAGCAAAGCCACTAGGGTGGTCAAGTGCAAAGGCAGACAAGGCTTCTCCAAAAGGGGAAACGGTCATAACCTTGCCACACAGTAGGGGAAACCTGTACATGCTGCAAGTCCTATCTTCTACACCAGTCATGTAGAGGAGGCAGAATACAGGGGATCGCAGCTCCAGGACTTTTTTCAGGGATGCCTTCTGCTGGAGCGTAAGGGAAATTGGCAGATCCTCCTTTGCAAGCGAATGAAGTGATAGGCTTTCGAGTTCTTCAATATACAGTCGTACCTTGGAAGCCGAACGGAATCTGTTCCAGAAGTCCGTTTGACTTCCAAAACGTTTGAAAACCAAATCACAGCTTCTGATTGGTTGCAGGAAGCTCCTGCAGCCAATCGGAAGCCGCGGAAGCCCCATCAGACGTTCGGGTTCCAAAAGAACATTTGCAAACTGGAACAATCACTTCTGGGTTTGTGGCATTTGGGAAACAAAACATCCAAGTTCCAGGGAGTTTGACAACCAAGGTACGACTGTATATAATTATTATTATTATCATCATCATCATTTATTAAATTTGTATACCACCTTTCATCCAAAGATCACAGGGCAATTTACAATAGGAAAATACAAAATGAGAACACCATACATAATAAAACCAAAGCAAGCCAATAACCCCTCTCACACACACATTTAAAAGGCCATAAAGTGTGTGTGCAATTTAGGTGGTAATACCTCTGCAAGATGGTTTGCTTTTCAATTTAAAAACTTCAATTTAAAATCACAAACCAATGTGGAGAAGTAAACATAAGAATAGAAAAAAGAAGCTGAGAAACTGAAAGAAACCGAAATGGATGGATTCGCTGATCACTACTTGCATATGAAAATTTACCATTCTATGTAATTCTGTACAGGTGCTCAGATCTCCTTTCCTGCTTCTGCTCATTTCTAATAAACTTCCAGTACTTTCATAATAATAAACTCCAAAGCAAGCTCTCTTGGGGCAACGAAACCTGAGACTGGGGTTGCAGAGAGCTGATAGATACTGGACCCAAGCTATAAGGAAAGGCGTATCCAGCGGAAACATTTGCAAAGTATGATGACTGAAGAAATTCAAAGGGGGGCGGTTTAAAAGAAATCAGTCAAAGGAAGATAAAAAGTTTTGGCAAATGCTTCACACATTTCGGCTGGATTGCAGAAACGATTACAATTTTCCACATACAGCTTTATAAAGGAAGTTAATGAGATGAATGTAAAAATAGCCTTCCCAACCCCCCAAATTCTGGAACCCCCAAATGGCCTTTCTGGTCAACTTCCTGCTACACATGGATTAACTATTTCCTGCTCCCATCCCCTCACCTCCCATTGTGAACCTCCACGGTGTTTATTGGCCAGGCTGAATGTGTTCAGGGATGGGTAATCCCATTGATCCTAATAAATCAGGGCAAGAAAAGCAGGGCGACTGCAGCCACAAGTCCCTGGATGTTCTCGCAGCAATCTCTGACTCCTGGATAACCTCCTTGGCTGTTTCCTCAGCACACTGTCACGGTTTCGCTCTCTTTCAAGTTAGTTAGCGTCTCTGTTAACCTTTCCTGATATATCCCTTTGGCGATAGCAAAGCGTCTGGAGGCGGGTGATGTATTGGCGATAATGCCAAGTGTGTGAACTTTGTATTCTGCAAATTGCTTAAATGCACTGAAGACATTAAGCACATGCCTTGTAGGAACCTTGAGGAATTGCATTTAATCAGCTGAAGATTAGACCTACCTTATGGTCAGGAGATGTATGTTGTGATAAGCCTGCTTCTCGGGGGAAACGGAGATGCGTTCGTGAAAGGTGGTGCTCATTATTCATCACTCACCCCCTCCCCTTCCTCTGTATCTTTCTTGCTATCAAAACTTAGAATATAACCTCCTCGCGGGCAGAAACCTATGTGTGGGAGAGAGGCGTGCTTGTAAAATCAAGAAAAGAAAAACCCCATACTCTGCTGTTCCTGCAATGGGTGCAGAAGTCAATAAATTGCTACTGGCTGCAAAGAAATGCCACTTATAGAATTATAAAGTTGGAAGAGCCATCTAGTCCAACCCCCTGCGGTACAGGAACTTCAACTAAAGTATCCAAGACTTCTCTTACTTCCTTCAAATCCCTCCTCAAATGTCATCTTTTCTGTGAAACTTTTGGCTTTATACATGCACACAGACACACCCACCCTGTTCTCATGTCCTAGTATAGAGAGCAACAGTGTGGTCCCGTGTGTGGGGGTGTGTGGGGGTGCATGAGTGTACAATGTCATGCTCGGATTTCTCCCTATTAACATTTAAGGATCTTCCTCTGTCTGCTTCACCCCAGACAGAACACATCAGTACACACCGTCCTCAGCAGTATCCAGAGAAACCTCTTTCAACGGCCATTCTCCTGACACACACAGAGAGAAGAACAGAAAACAGTTAAAAACGACAGTCAGGAATAACAGTCACAACAGAACGGAATGCCCCTCTTATGTGACTCACAGTCAGCCAATCACATGAGAGAGCTACTGCCCAAGGAAAACCCCATGCTAAAAACAAAAAATACACAGCAATTCAACACAAGCAAACATTCCCATTTCAGGACATTAAACCATTATCCTTAACAGTACCCACTCCTCCCCCCCCTCACAAATGTTGAGGTGTGCAACACCCAGACAGCATAGCCAGTGGTCAGGCATCATGGTAACTGTAGTTTAGCAATATTTGGAAGGCACTACATTAGCCACCTCTACCCTGCTCCAGTTAACCCAGTCATAAGCCAAAGCATGTGTAACTAAAACAGTCCCACTAACTGTCCCTGCCTCCATTTCCCTTATTCATCCATTGTGTCTCCTCTGTAGGATTTTTAGATTGTATAACAACAACAACAACAACAACAACAACAACTTATTATTTCTACCCTGCCCATCTGGCTGGGTTTCCCCAGCCACTCTGGGCGGCTTTCAACAAAAGTTTAAAAATACATTCAATCATCAGTCATTAAAAACTTCTCTAAACAGGGCTGCCTTCAGATGTCTTCTAAATGTCAGATAGTTGTTTATTTCCTTGACATCTGATGGGAGGGCGCCACTACCGAAAAGGCCCTCTGCCTGGTTCCCTGTAACCTCACATCTCGCAGGGAGGGAACCACCAGAAGGCCCTTGGTGCTGGACCGCAGTGTCCAAGATGAACGATGGGGATGGAGACGCTCCTTCAGGTATACTGGACTGAGGCTGTTTAGGGCTTTAAAGGTCAGCACCAACACTTTGAATTGTGCTCGGAAACGTACTGGGAGCCAGTGTAGGTCTTTCAAGGGATCTGTTTGGTTGTTGTTTTTTTGCACCTGCACACTGAGCTGATCAAACTGTTTCTACATCTTCTGTGTTAGCAATGGCCCACCTTTCCCTAAGTCTTCGGTGATGTCCATAAGCATTAAGATGCAACATGGAGCACCTGTATGTGAAAATGCTTCTTAGCTTTGAAAACAGTCCTGCAAGTGGTTTTTAAATTTCGCGATACCCCTTTCTACCTGCTCATCATGGGGAGCAGCTATTTAAAAACAACCCTAAAATATCCTCATCAAACCCAGGGACACCAAGAGGGCATGCATTAGGTTATACACCACAAGTGTCCTGGAAAAAAGGGACACCCTTTTTTCCTGCGAAAGAGCACGGCAGCCATTTCAGTTGCCTTGAACTCCTACAATTTTGTGCCGAGATCTCATGCACTTTGGGGCACTATGCAAGCACTGCCTGGAAAAAAACACTTGCATCTTTGGGGCTCTGTGATCTCCCATAGGTCACGTGACTCATGAAAGAGCATGGGCAGCAAGACTCACATCCCGGTTTGGGGACTCATGATGTCAGAGGGTATGGTAGGTGCAAAGAGCTTCTCTCTCTGAGTGAGCCTGGTGGGGGCTGGTGCCTTTTGTCCCTGTTGATGGAACTGCTGTGGGGTGATGATCATTTGCTTCTCTTTCAGTTTTGGCAGCCATTTTGTGTTGTGCCAAACACACCCACACACCTACACTGTGGACCCGCCATTTTGTGTTAAGCTGCACACCTCATGGCTGCCATTTTGTGCCTGGCATCCACAGCACTTTCTCAGAGTCCCAAATGTACCCAGTGGTCCAAAAATCTGTGTGACCTCTGCAGGAACCCAAAGAAGGCTCGCCTTTGACAGCAAATGTTTCTTGAGAATAATGGGACCGTGTGATATTAGGCTAGAAATTAATTTTGATCTAAAATCATCTCTATTTCATTCTTCAATGTTATGTTGAAAAGTAGGCATTATCCATAAAAGAAATATTACTTTAGTGCTGTTAAATAGTAATGGTAGCTGCACTGACTGACATGTAAAGGAGACTAAAATATTCCTCGCATTACAAAATTATTATTCTGTTAATAGCCTAGTGATATTTCTAATCACAGATTCCACTTAGAGGCCTAGAAAAAAACACCAGTCAGCTCCTTTATAAGAATTTAACTAAAATCATGCATTAAAAATAATTAAAAATAATACTTTGGCCTTTTTTCTCCATTTCTGAGGCTTTAATACACAATTTCTAGAGCTTTTTCTCTAGGATCATGAGGGCTAGGGGAAAAAAGTGCTTAAAATGAAAGCAGTTATTAGTACAGGTTTCTTGCAAAAAGACACAGTAATTCAGCCAGAACACTTAAATGTTTAATGCTGCACATTAAATGGTAAAGGGTGCAATCTTATACACGCCTAGGAGTTAGCCCCACTGAATGCTGTGGAACTTGATTCCAAACAAATGTCCACAGCGCTGTTCATGTAAGTGTTTTGAGTTAGATCTAGGAACTTGAAAAAACAATTGACACTGTTCTCTTCCATGAGGTCTGTGGAAGAGCATGTATTTGCAAATTCTAACAATCTTGGAAGCCCGCTCCTCAGTAATTCAGAGCAGGGCTTTTTGTGTGGTTGCCACTTGTTCTGTGAAATAGCAATCCTGTCGCGATATGACAGGCACTCATTATCAGCCCTTTCTGGAAACTATTGAAGACATTCATTTGTCTCCCACAGGCATTCTCCGTTGGAAAAATGGTTCTTTACCACAAGTGTCTACTTAGTTAGGGTTTGAGTCTTGTTTTAAATGTATTTGGTGTTTTTAACTGTTTTTAGCACCTTACATAAGGGAGGAAGGACCACAATCTGGAGATCCAGAGTCCTGCTGCCCCAATATCACTCAAGCACCACTACCTGCATACTGGGACAACCTGGAGCAAAACACTCTGCCAAACAGGAATGCAATCCAAGGTTCCTAAAGTCTACTCACAGTCTGAATAGCTCACTTTGGGCTTGGCCGCACTTCTGCTTGTCCTCTGCCTAGAAAGTGTGGGTCTGAGTGGTTTCCTGCTTTCCCCGTGCTTTTCAGGCACCGTTTTCTGTTTGCCCCGTCACTTTCCCCCGGGGAAAACCAGCTCTTTACCGCTGAATCGGAGCAAATGTCAATTCGCCGAAAACCTGGTTGACATTTGCTCTGATTCAGTGGTAAAGAAGGGAGTTTTCCAGAGGGAAAACAATGGCACAAGCAGAAATGTGGAAAAGCCCTGAGATGCAGAATCCACAGCTCACAGAATCACGGGGAGACATGCATTTCATGGTACTGTTTATTGGTTGTTTTAGATTGTATGCCCTTTAGGGTACATCTTTTAATTGTGTGCAGAGCTACGTACATTGATGGCAGTGTATAAGGGCAAACAACAGAAATCACACCCACTCCAGACATTTGAAGCACTTTGCACTGCCCCGGAGAATCCTGGGAACCGTAACTTGTTAAGGGCGCCGGGAATTGTAGTTCTGTGAGGTCAGCACCTTAACTACAGTTCTCATGGTTCTTTGAGGGGAGGAGCCATCACTCTTAAAGTTGAATAAGAGAGCTTTAAATGTACGGTGTGGATTTGACCATAATTAATAATTACAATGATGGTTTTCATTGAACAGGTACATCTTTTCAATGAACAGGTAGCAGCTGTTGGTTAACAAACTGATGGATCAGCATGTTATGTATTCTGCAATGTCGCTCTTTTGTTTACACACACCCACACACCGGTTTTAAATTGCATTTAGGTGTTGCATTTTATTTCGCCAAGTTGCTTTGGGATGTTCCGTTACATAAAAGCAACTGATAAATGGAATTATTGCGATTACGATGATTGTGCCATTAGCCTCCCTAACAATCGGGAGTCCAGATTACATTTCCACATGCCCAGAGGATGTGCAAGGAATTCATTTGGCTTCCCTGGATTATTTTTGGAGAACTGGGGAGGAAGCAATCTCTATGATGCACAAAGGCAAAGAGTTAATGCAGCCCTGGTTATGAATTAACTGCATGACATGCAACCCATTTGAACATTTTGAGAGTGGTGTAATAAGCATATTAATTGTTGGCTGAAACAAAGCGGCTCAACACACTGATGTTTAATCCTTGCCTGCAAAGCTTCCGTAAGGTTATCTGCCCGCCTTCTCCCTTACATAAAAGTGATTATTACTCAACTCCTTTCATATGTTGATCATTTTCATCATCCGCTTCCTCTCCTTAACTACCGTGCACAAGAACAATTCAATTAATCAGCGCATTGTGACTTGGTCCCAGAGTAATCCATTCTTTCCAGCGGCTGGTGACCTTCTCAATTGACACCTCCTTCTACTCCACTGGGGAAAAAAGTATCATAAGTAAAATTCTTTGGCTGCTCTTCCCCATTGTAGTAGACAATGATGGCTGGCTTCAAGGGGTTTAACAGGCAACAGAGAAGTGCACGTGTTTATGTATTAGACAAACTTTGTCACGTGGAATAAGTTTGAAATTGCTCTCTCCCCCTTGGCTTTGAAGGACCTCTCACGCATCAAAATCAACATGAAAAAATTATTTTTTAAAATTTGTTTTACCAATCCCACACATTATAAAACAGAACCATTTCTCGGCATTATTTTTTATTGGGTTGTAGCCAGTCATAGTCCTATCCAGAGTTGACCCAGTGAAGTTAATGGACATGACTAATTTAGGTATTGTTAAAGCTAGGGTTTTCCCAGTAGTGATGTATGGAAGTGAAAGCTGGACCATAAAGAAGGCTGATTGCCGAAGAATTGATGCTTTTGAATTATGGTGCTGGAGGAGACTCTTGAGAGTCCCATGGACTGTAAGAAGATCAAACCTATCCATTCTTAAGGAAATCAGCCCTAAGTGCTCACTGCAAAGACAGATCCTGAAGCTGAGACTCCAATACTCTGGCCACTTCATGAGAAGAGAAGACTCCCTGGAAAAGACCCTGATGTTGGGAAAGATGGAGGGCACAAGGAGAAGGGGACGACAGAGGATGAGATGGTTGGATAGTGTTCTCGAAGCTACCAGCATGAGTTTGACCAAACTGCGGGAGGCAGTGGAAGACAGGAGTGCCTGGCATGCTCTGGTCCAGGGGTCACAAAGAGTCGGACACGACTAAA